CTGTGGTGCTGGAGAAGAGTATTGAGAATACCGTGGACTGCTAGGAAAACAAACAGATTTGTTCTGGAAAGGGTTAAATGGGCTGGCTCCTTGGAGGCAAGGATTCTGAGGCTCCGTCTAACATACTTTGGACGTGTTGTGAGGAGAGACCAGTCCTTGGAGAGGGACATCATGCTTGGGAGGGTGGAGGGAAGGCACAGGAGAGGAAGGCCCTCTGTGAGGTGGATTGATTCGGTGACTGGGATAATTGGAATGGGAGTGTCAGAGACAGTGCGATTGCACAGGATAGAGCGGAGTTTAGGGCTGTTGTACATAGGGTCACTATGAGTCGCAGGCGATTCTACAGCACATAACAACAACAACAACAATGTAGTATAAGCATCCTGTGAACAAACTGTGTAACCAGAAAGAATATTCCTTCCCCTGTAGCTACAAGATTAATTTTGTATGCCTGTATTTTCTGTTTAATGTTAGATAAACACCATGGGATCAGTTTCCTAAGAGGCCAATTCTTTGATACGGTGGTCACAGAGATGGGGAGTTTACCCAGGTGCTGCATCATGCTTGTACGTGAGCAAGAGACAGAGGGAAGGTGTCCAGAACAAGGAGGAAGGAGAAGAGTTAGAGGAAGTCATGCCAGAGAATGTTCTTAGCCCAGTGTCTCAGCTCAGATACTGACTGATGAGTGAAGTCATCGAGGCAGACCATCCTACACTCTGAACAAAACTCCATTCATACTCTTTATCTTGCCTTGTTGTGTACTGTAGAGTCGGAACTGACCCATAGCTGCAGGTTTTTCAGAAGCAGTTAATTACATAGGAGGAGATTGCCCATCTTTCTCCTGTGGAGCGGCTGGTGGCCTTGAGCTACATGCCTTTGGGACTGCAGCACAGCTTCTTGCCACTAGGCCAGAAGCTCCCTTTTTTTGCATTAAATGAATTAAAATTAAATTGTTCTCTAGCTTCTGTCTCCCTTTTTGATGTTTTCTGGTATGTTTAAATAGTTTTTGAAAACATGTTATCTATCACTTTATGTTTGTTATTTGTGGAACTCTCATTTCCTCCCCATTTTACAGGAAATTATAAGACCTCAAATAACTATAAACTTGCATTCTTTCCCTTATTATTGCTGATTTTCTAAAACTGTGCTTTCCTGTTCCTTCTGTCTGTCACTGATATGCTTTCCAGTATACTTACAGAGTTTGTTTTTAATTAATTTTGTCTAATGTTTTATACTTACTACCTTTGGGAGTTCTAAGAATCACTTCTTTTTTGTACTAAATGTTGCAAGGCATTGAGTAACTATGAATCATTAATCTTAAGAAACAACTTACTAAATACCCAGGTTTATGATTCATATACAAAAGGCAAATACAATCAATGTGGAATATCTGGTACCTTATGTGTATTACCCCAGATACTATTTACTATTTATCTTATTGTTGATTGGCTTATAGTTCTGGTTTATAGGACAGTTAGCATCACAATCAATTACTTGTTAATTCCTATTGTTGGTTTAATACTTAATTTGATATATTTGTATATTTTTTAAAAAAATTCTTTTATATTAGTTTACATGCAAAATTTGTGTACATTGTTTCATAGTTTTCTTCATTCAAGATTGTGTTTCATACAATCATTCTCATACATTGTGTTTTATAAGATTTATCACCCTTCAACTATGCCCAACTTAATTTGATCTCTTACCTCTTAATCCATAGTGGGTTATTTAGTATTGTTACTCCAAGTCTAGTAAATTCTAGTAATTCTCAAAAATATTTAGCTTCATTCTTTAGAGATATAGATGTGGCACCAGATAGAGCCAGTAGGTTATCATACATGTTTCCCCATCTGCTGTTATATTGGACTGTAGAGTAGGAACTGACTCATAGCTGACCCTCCAGAGGGTTTTTAGAGGCAGCAATGGCATGGGAGGAGATTGCCCACCCTTCTCCCATGGAGCAGCTGGTGGCCTCGAACTGCGTGCCTTTGGAATTGCTGTGAAGCTTCTTACCATTAGGCCACTAGAGTTCCACCTGCATAAAAAAAGTTTTATTTTCATGGTTTTAGAATAACTGTAATAAAGAGAAGTACTGATTCTTTTATAATTTATTTTTATTTCACAGTTGCTATTACTAGCCAAGAAAATTATCTATTCATATTTGAGCCTACTGGTAAATTCAAAGAATGACCTGGCTTTGGCTCATGTTCTTAATATTCCTGATCGAGGACTTGGGAGAGAAGCTTTCACAGACCTGAAGCATGCTGCTCGAGAGAAACAGACGTCTATCTTTTTGGTATGGAAGCTGTGATATTTTTACAGAGTTTTCATAACTATAATGAGACAATTTTTAAATTTCTTTTCCCCCCAATATATTTGAAATCCATGGTATTTTTCTTTTCTGCTTAGCCTCCTAGTTTGACAAGGGGGCATTCCTCCAAAGCAATGCTTCACTAGATGTGTTCTCTAGAGTGCTGTTGTTCTTCTATGCTTTCAAGTGAAAACTGACTCATAACTGACCCACCAGTGAGTTTTCAGAGACTATAAATAGCTTGGAAGGAGATTACCTATCTTTCTCCCAAAGAGTAGCTGGTGAATTTGAACTGTTTGTATTTGAGTTTGCAGTGAAACACCCTGTTAAATGTTTCGGGATGTTTGAATGACTGCTTACAAAAGCAAAAAATTTAAGAGTAAGTGTCTTGGATGTTTATAATGCATCTTTGTAATTTCAAGCTGAGAGAATCTTAACTGCCATAGAGAAGTATGTTTTAAGTTTCTGTTTTAATCAATTATTTCTTAAGTTGCTTGACCTTCCCCCCACTCACCAGTATTTCATAATTGCAGCCTTCCCTCCAATTATCAATATTTCATATAAATTGTCTTTATTAGGATATAATTTGGAAAATAGTCCTTAGAAAATTTAATCTTTGATGGAGATATTAATTTATTGCCATCATATATGCCTCTTTAGCAATCTTAAAGACCTTTTTCACTTGGTCAAATAATGTTTAGGAAGTGATAGCTAGGTTAGATTTATTAATTATCTTTATCTTTATTTTACAAATAAAGAAGCTAAGGTAGAACAGTAGAACTAACTTGTTAATTCATTTATTTAGAACAACAGCTCTGTTCACACAATTGCACAGCTTCTTTTTAATCTACATACGAATATGTTCATACAGTATTCCTATATTAATTATATGATTTTATAAATTTGTTATTTTTACATTGATTTGTGCCCTAACTTGGCCCTTCATTCTTAGGCTATAATTAGCTGAGTGTCATTATTGTCCTTATTACTGACATGCATGTTTATGTCACTACTAAATCAGAATTTGGCATGAGTTTTAAGAAGTACTTCATTCTCAACAAACTGCAGAAGGCATAATTTTCCTTGCTGAATGTGAAGACGTCTTGAAGCACTTCCTGAAGAAGTTCAAAGATTCTAGCCTTCAGTATGGAATACACTATCATAAAGAAAATGAAAATCTTTTAAGCTAGACTGTATTATGATTAGTAAAGATCAGAGTCCTAAGGATGCTTGAGCCTATAATCAACCCAGTGAAAGTAACAGTCAAGAAATCAGGTTACATTTGCATTGGGCAAATCTGTTGCCACGATTAGCAATCTTTAAAGAGCTAAATTGCAGGGATACCATTTTAATGTCCAAGATGCACCTGATCTTAACCATGGTAATGTCACTGGCTTTGGAAGTGTGTGAAAATTGGTCTATAATTTATAAAGACCAAAGTTGAATTGATAACATTGAGTTGTATTTGTGAAGAATATTAAATGGGCCACAAGATTGCTAGAAGAACAAATAGGTCTCTTTTGGAAGACATAAAGCCAGAGTGTTCTGTAGAAGCAAGGAAGCTAAGACTTTCTTTTAACTACTTTGGGCATGTTATCAAGAAGGACCAGCCCTTGGAAGAGGATGTTCGATTGGAAAAGTAGAAGGATAGTGAAAGAGAGTAAGACCCTCAGGAGATGGAACGATACAGTGACGGCTACAGTGGTCTTAAGCACAGCAGAATTGTGAGGATGTCACAGAATCAGTGAGGGTATTGATCTGCTGTACGCAGGGTCAGTGAGAGAAAGGAAGGCCCTCAAGGGGTTAACACAGTGACTACCAGAATGGGCTTGAGCAGGACAGCAATGATAGAGGGTGGTTGTTGTTAGGTGCTATCTGGTTGGATATGACTCATATTACCCTGTCAAGAAGCTCTTACTGCAGTAGATCAAAGACTACAGCCTTCTATGTGGGTTACATCTTGAGATCAAGAAAGCAGAATAGGCAACACCGTAACAGATGGAGAAGAGAGTAAAGTTGTCAATCTTTTCATCTTACTTGGATCCATAGTCAACACCCATGGTAATAGCAGTCAAGATGTAAAAGATTTACTGCATTAGGAAAATCTGCTGTCAAGGCCCTCTTCAAAGTTGTAAATAGCATGAATGCTATTTTAGACTTAGGTGTCCCTGATCCAGGCCATGGTATTTTCAGTACTTCCAATGCATCTGAAAGTTGGACAGTAAATAAGGATGTCTGAGGAAAAAATCAATGCCTTTGAACTGTAGTGTTCAAGAAAAGTATTGAATATCCTTTGGACTGGAAAAACAAAAATCTGTCTTAAAGTATAACCAGAGTGCTCAATAAAAGAAAGAATGGAGAAGCTTTGTTTTACTTACTTTGGTCGTATTTTCAGGAAGAATTAGTCATTGGAGAGAGACATCAGTTTTGGTAAGGCGGAGAGTCAGCGAAAGAGAGGAAGACCCACAACAAGAAGGATTGACACAGTGACTGCCACAACGGACGTGAGCATGTCAGGCATTCATGGTCATGAGGATGGTGCAGGACAGGGCAGGGTTCAGGTCTGCTCTTCATCTCATTGCTGGAACAACAATAGAAGCATCGTATAGTACATTTTGGTTTTAATTGATGAAATTTAATTGTTACACATCATTGCGTGATTTCTTGTCATTCTTAGGTGGCCACATCATTCATTCGAACATTACAGCTTGGAGGGAAAGGATATGCACCATCACTATCTGATCCTTTAAGAACACATGTAAAAGGATTGTCAAATTTTATCAGTTTCATTGACAAATTAGTTGAGATTCTTGGAGAAACTCCAGATCCAAGGTAAGAGTTTTTCACAAATTATATTTGTATTATTAATCTGTCTTTAAAACTTCACACAATCAGAAGTAGAATAGTGAGAGTTAAAGAAATGAGCAAATATTAGGCTAACAGTAGGAAGCAGAAAAAAAAAATATATATATATATATTTTACTTACTCTTTGTCCTAGTTTTTTTCTAGTTCTGTTTCTAAGAGAGCTGTCAGTTTTAAAGTATGGTCAAATTAAGCATAAATGGGAAAGAAAATTTAAAATTCATCTATGGAAAAATTATATTTGTGGAATTGAAAAGTTCCTGAAAAGCAGAAGTTATTTAAACTTTTGATTTGTCAAGAAAGGAAATCAATATTAAGAATGAGTAAGAAATGGACACAGAAGTAATTAGTATTCTGTTTGATTAGGATTTTTATTTGTTTTCTTATGTATAAATTCTTGATTTATCTGAACTTGTGCTTTTATAAGTTATTCTTGTCTGATAGATATTTGTGTTATGGGTATATTGGATGATGAAAAGTATCCAGATACTATTTTGAGAGTATAGTGGGCTATCTATGCTAGTACACATGCTAGAGTGTTGTTATCAGTTTGATTGGTAAGCCACAGTATGTTGGTAATGGAAATTACTGACATTGATTTAACACTTACTGTGTGCCAGAGCAGTTTTTGGATAGCAAATATAATTAAGTGTGTGATGACTAGCTGAAAGGTTAGGGATTTGAACCCACAAAAGAGTCCTCAGAAGTCAGGCTTGGTAATCTATTTATGAAAGTTCACAGCCTGGAAAATGCTATATAGCACAGTTCTGCTCCTTGAACACGCTATAGCACAGTTCTACTCCCTACACATGAGGTCACTGTGAGTTGGAACTGGTTTTATAGCACCTAACAGCAGTACACTGTCTGTACTCAGACTTTCCTCTTTGTTTTCTTGGACTGTATGTATCAATTATCTCTGAGCTATCCATTCCATCATTAAAATACATTGGCCTCACAGCTGCCAGGAAGGTCTTTCTAAAACTTCAGATACTACTTTCTTTGTCCTGTTCAATGTTTCCTTATTGTTGTTGTTAGATGCTCTTGAGTCAAGTACTACTCATTGTGACCCTATGAACTACAGACCTGTACCCTGTCTTGTCCTGTGCTATCCTCATCTTGAGCCCTCTGCTGCAGTCATTTTTTTCTGTCCATCTGGTTGAGGATTTTCCTATGTTTTGCTGAACCTCCACCTTTCCAAGCATCATGTCTTTTTCCAAAAAACAACTTTTTTTAGCCAACATCATGCCCAGAGTATGTTGTCCATCTTTACCTCTAAGGAGCTTTCTGGCTGTACTTTCTCCAAGACATAGCTGTTTGTTCTTTTGACAGTCCAGAAGATATTCAGTACTCTTCTATAACACCACAATTCAAAAGCATCAGTTCTTCTGTAATCCTTAAGCATTGCCTAGCTCTCAAATGCATAGCAAGTGAATAAAAACACCATGTCCTGAGTCTTCAGTCTGACAGTGCTCTTCAATATTTTGAAGAGGTTCCTGACAGCCAATTTGCCCAATGCAATATGTCTTCTGATCTCCTGACTGCTGGTACTAAGAGTGTTGGTTCTCCTAACTGCTGGTACTAAGAGTGTTGGTTGTTGATCCAAGCAAGATGAAATCATTGGCAACTTGCCTAAGGGCACAGTGTTGAGTCTTCTTGATGTTGAGGATGTAATCCTTATTGAAGAAGGTCATGGTCACTGATTTTGTGCAGCAAGCATTTCAAGTCCTCCTTACTTTCAGCAAGCAAGGTTATGTCATCTGTATAATGCAGACTGTTGATTGACCAATCCTGATGCCACATTCTTCTTCATACAGTCTAGTTTCTATAATTATTTGTTCAGCATAAAGATTAAATGGGTACCGAGAGAAGATACATTCCTGCTGCACATACTTAGTGATTTTAAACAATGCATTTTTCCTGGTCTCTTCTAACAGTGTGCTCAGATATATGGGATGAAATTTCACCATCCTTGCCTCCAAGGAACATCCTGGTTGGACTTTCTTCAAGACTTATCTGTTTGTTCTTTTGACTGTGGCATATTGCAGCAACAACAACATGCGATAGTCAGACACTTCTCCAACACCACCACTCAGTATCATCAGTTCTTCTTTTGTCACCCTTATTCATTGTCTTTTATATGCATAGCAAGTGATTGAAAAGACCATGGCTTAAATTAGATGTACCTTAGTTCTTCAATCGACATCATTGCTCTTTAGCACTCCAGAGAGGTCCTTGACAGTAGATGTTTCCTGTGTAACAAGTATTTTGATTGCATAAGTGCTGTTTCCAAGCGTGATGATTGTGGATCCAAATTTGATGAAATAGTTAATAATTTCAATCTTTTCTTCAGGTATCATGATATTACCTACCGGTCTATTGGGTTTTCTTGATATTGAGATGTAATCTATATTGAAGGGTGTAGTCTTTGATCTTCTCCAGTGTTGCAAGTCTTCACTTTCAGCAAACAACATTGTATCATCTGCAGATATCAACACATCTGTGTCCACTCATGTTGTTCATGAATCTTGCTCCAAACTTGATACCACATTCTTTTTCATATAGGCCAGCATCTCAGATGATTTCCTGAGCATACAGATTGAATAGGTATGAAGAAAGGATAAAACCTGGATGTACACGTTTCTCGATTTTAAATTGGGAAGGGCATATGCCAAGGATGTGTCCTGTCTCCATACCTGTTCAACCTGTATGCAGAACAGATTATTTGGGAGGCTGCGCTCTCTGAGGAGAAATGTGGGGCCAGGATTGGTGCAAGAATTATCAACAATATGCGTTCTATTTTTTCAGAATAAATTTGCAACCAAAGGCAAAGGGATACTCCATTATTATCCATTAACGTTTTCTGATTTACCCTTGTTTTTACACACAAGCAATGCAGACAGTACTAGATATTCTGGAATACAGTGATATACAGATACCAAAGTTTGCACTTACACCCTCTATTGGAGGAAGTAAATATTTCAAAAATATAGCATTGTACATCTGCATTATGCAGGCAACACAACCCTGCTTGCTGAAATCGAGGAAGACCTGAAGCGCTTGCTGCAGAGGGTCAAGGACTGCAGCCTCCAATATGGATTGAGGCTCAATGTCAAGAAGACAAAGATTCTCACCACTGGACCA